CGTCATTATTTTTGCACCAACCTAATAACAAAATACGATCACCTAAATTGCTACATTCACAGACTTGGTTCCTACATCAAGGACGGGTTTTCCTGGTGCAGGGACACAAAAATCGAAGACCCTGATCTCCCATATATGTTTCCACGTGGTACTTATCCATCCTACCACATTCGTTTTTACGCTGTATTGTCCTCAGGATGAAGGGCCGGTAATCTTCGATCGAATATCAGAGAAGATTGACAATATCCTCACCAAATTTTCCTCGGTTAACTTTCACGTATATGGTGACTTCAATGTTCCATGCCAAGAATGGTTAGTCCACTCTAACAAAATCGATGTGGAAAGCAGAAATTGCAGAGACTTCTCCATCGCATATGATCTAACCCAGATCATTGAAGAACGCACCTGAATCCCGGATGCGACGAGGCAGCAGGCGAACTTTCTCGACCTTTTTCTAATATCCTGTTCTGACTAAAGCTAGCAAAGGTGTCAGTGTTCAGATTGACGCTAAACTAATGACATCCCTCGATTTACCGTTCCGTATAACGGTTTTTCGCTATGCGAAGGCAGACTGGGACTGCTTTCGGCCCTATTTGACCGAAGCTACACCCCCAACCTTCTTCAAACATGCTACCCCCAAAACTGTTGCCCTAATCTCCGAATGAATCCTTTCTGGAATAGAGTGTTTTATACCCCCCCCCTAAATAAAACCCAGCAAAAACCAAACAGTCAATCCTGGTTCACCCCTGAATGCACTGCAGCCATAGCTCACCGGGACCACTACTTCAAAATCTATCATAAGGAGCGGTGTAATCCGGTCCTTACTTGTTTCAGAATCGCCCGCAATCGCTGTAAGAGAGTGCTGGAAAATGAAAAGTGCAGCTACGCGCGATCTGTTCAGGCCAGGGTTGATAATAAACAAATTAAATCTCGCGAATTCTGGAAGATCCTTCCTCAACCTAATTATGAACAGAAGCAAAGCAACTGTGATCACTATCATAAAAATAACCCCGAGGTCATATCCTCCTCAATAGGCAAGTCGAAGTTCTTCGCCACTATCGTTGCCTCAAACTCAACATTAGATGACAAAAGTCATCGCCTCCCCAACTTCCCACGTCTCACTGGGCACCATCTCAGTAAAATACTCATTTCAGCAGAAGTCCCTAGATTTATCAAAAGCCTCGATACTCCAATCATTTGTAAACGTCTATGTAGATGATATGACTATATACGGGCGCACCTCTAAAACTCTTGACGATCAGAGATTGGCAGCTGACCTCTCTTCCGATTTAACACTAATTTCCCAGTAGGTAAAAAACTGGCTGGTTACATACAATGCCCCTAAAATCAAACGGGTTACATTACATCAGCGCCGATCAAACACCACCGAACTACCCTCATTCAAGATGAACAGATGTCCCCTCGAGGAGGCACCGTTCCCTTGAGAGGATATTGGGCCTCAACTGACTGCCGACCTCAAGTGGACACGTACATACGATCCATCGCTAAAGATGCAGCTAAAATGATCGGCTCCCTGTACCGCTCCAGTAAGTACTTGACTCCTCATGCTATTATCTAGCATTATAAGAGCCAGCTCAGAACGAAAATGGAGTACTTTTGCCATATTTGCGCGGGAATTGCCCGGATCTTACATTCCTGATAAAGCGAGGTCTGGGCAGCCCCTACCAAAATACAAAGTTCAAAAGCATCTCAGAGTCCTTATTGGAGAATTATTTTACACACTTTATACTCTCGCTCTCACAGGCGGGATGTGGACGGCCATTCGCTGCTCTATCACTACTACCATGGGAAGTGCTCAGATTAACTGCATCTCCTTGTTTCCACCAATCTGACATTCACGGCTAGGACCCGCCATGCTACTTACACCACCTACAACCCTCCCGTCTTCCATCGGCGAGAAGTAAGTTCCACTCAAACAGCTTCTTCTCGCGAACCACTGCCATATGTAACAGACACCCAAATGCATGATTCCCAGATCTCTTCAATCTTAACCTGTTCTATTCTAGAGTCAACCCTTATCTTCCCCCTCTTATCCATGTAAATTACCCCTTAACCACCTCCCTCAAGTGGCCGTATTTTTTTACTGTAAAAAATATTGAAGATCAAATTTGGCTGGAAAGCAAGAAGCCGCAAGAAAGTTCTACAAGTGAGAAATCGGAGAAAAGAAACTGTTAGCATAGAAATTAAAGTGACATCTAGCGGCCATTTGTACTGTAAACTGATGAGACCTTGCCGCCAATCTAGTACTGCGCTTATATTCATAAAGTTTAGGTGCCATAAAGAAAAGTTCTTCAGAACAATTACCATGAAAATATTTATAGAAAGACACAGGGAATATTCATTACGGCGGTGGGAAAGTGACTGAAGCTGAGATGTCAGATCAGGACCGATAACATTGCAGATTCTTTGGATTTTATCAATGACTAGCAGGAGAGCCGGGTGTTGCCCGGGGATGTAACAGTAAAAGATAGATCAAGTATCGACCATCATAAAGACTGAAAAATAAAATTGACAAAGAATATTGTTTAAGGCCGACGGACACGCATGTCTTAATTAGTTTTTTTTTTTTTTATTTGGGTTTTTTTACGAATTGGTCAAACCCAAACTCAAACAAAAACATTGTTTTCAATCATTATGAGTCTACCGATTGAATAGAATTTTATTATAAACAATTGTCTTGTAAATGGAATTTTTAAAGCATTCTGAATGTAAAAATAAAGAAAAAATGTGCAAGACAATAAGAAACACTACCTGCCAAAAAAAAGTGAAGTTTTGTTGAAATCGGTTGAAAAATGTAGGAAATCCGATCCCATATATAAATGAAAACACACACACACACACACACACACACACATACACACACACACACACAACCTGGGTTTTATAATAAGTATAACTCGATATGAGTTGTCCCCCTTTCATTCTGGCGACAGAATCGTGTTTTATCCTGTTTTCAAATTGATTTCGTACAAAAACAGTTGTGTTCTTCCAATTTTTGGCGCTGTCAGAACTACCGCAAGGTAATTTTACGTAGTCCTGTGAAGTTTTGTTGAAATCGGTTGAAAAATGTAGGAAATCCGATCCAATATATAAACGTACAGACACACACACACACACACACAATCTGCGTTTTATAATAAGTAAGATTTCTAAATATATAGCAGGCGCAACAGACCATATATTGCAGCAATATTCAATGCATGGACGAATAGAAGACTTACAGTTTTTAAAACACAATGAAATATTAAAACCTCTATGTGCTCGTCAGTAGAAAAACGTTGTTCTCCAAATGCATCAAGATTAACACAGAAAAAAGAAAAGGAACTTGGTTGGTCTGTTCTATCCAACCCACCCGATTCACCCGATCTTGCACCAACCGATTCACCCGATTCACCCGATCTTACACCAACCGATTGTTACCTTTTTTCTTTTCTTTTTTTTTTTTGTTTTTTTTTTTTGAATGGTTTGATGGCGAAAACTTTTTTCTAATGAAAACCAGATTCAAGAATTCGTAGATAAAATTTTCGCATCAAAACCTGCAGAATTTTGCTCAGCAGTTATCCAAGGGTTACCTGATAAGTGGCAACAATATCACTGCAAATAATCGAGTATATATAACTGAATAAAATGTAATTAGACCTTATTCTCTGAAGAATAAAGTTGATGAACAAAAACGGAAATTATTTCTGACTCAACCTTACATACAACATTTAAATATATAATGTAATTTTTATTTTCAGGAAGGCGAAATCTACATGTTTATCGATAAGGTTTAGAAGTACACAGAAGCGCATGGAAGGAAGAAGTAAGAGAGAGAGAGAGAAAGAGAGAGAGAGAGAGTATAAAAAATAAACGACCACCTAATGGTTGGTTTCAAATAACGATATATAAAACCATCGCTGTAAAATAACTGGTAGAAATTTACTTACCTTGGACTTCCAATCGAAATAAACATTATTCCAAGAAGGAAGATGACGATACCAAATATCAATAATCCAAGAATAATCCTTTTAGATATAATCCAGTCATGGGGTCTGGCTTTTACTAATCTTTCTCTCATTTTATAAAAGCAATAGATCGCACAATCTAGAGTTATTTATCAATCTTTAAAACAAATACACAAAATCCATTCAGTGCTTTTTTTTTCTCAGGATACCCTTTAAAAAGAATTCCTTTAAAACGTTTGCTTATTTTCTTTTTTTTTTCTTTTTTTTTTTTTTTAATTTTAAAAAGTTATATTGCTTTCAAGCCTGTCAATTGGTTATCATTTTCCCTGGCTTGCTTTTCGGGTTAAATTATTTTAAGACGTCGAATTTTACGTTGTCATTTAGTAAGGAATTTGATTTTTCTTTAAAAAAAAAGAAGTGAATATCGACACCTAACAGACATAAACAAATAAATAAAACCTGTTATCAGGATTCCTGGTCTGTACCCTCGTGTCTCCTCAAAACGGCAGCGTACTTTTTTTTCATGTTTATATATGCAATATAGATAAATATATAGATATGTACACGAATAAACGTTTACTGGATACTGAAAATTATAACAGATTCGCGTGGCACGTACAAACAGATGGGTATAGGCTGCGCGCAAGATGCGCTGGATTCGCATTTATGGAGGTAGTCCTCTAATTATGTGTATATGCGCATGTGCGTGTATCAGAATGCCTGACTGTTTATCTATCTATCTATCTATCTATCTATCTATCTATCTATCAGTATGTATGTATATTCTGTGACAATGATAATATGAGAAGGGGATTAATTGTTGGTGCTTGAGCATGAATTGGCATCTACTATACGTATATAATTTGTCCTTTATGTACAACCACAATATCTATCTATCTATCTATCTATCTATCTATCTATCTATCTATCTATCTATCCAGTCTCTTCATATATATCTCTCTTCATATCTATCTATCTATCTATCTATCTATCTATCTATCTAAGACTGTTCATATGAATGTATATATATATATGTGTGTGTGTGTGTATCTCAGTTTATCCAATTTCTCTCTCTCTCTCCCTTCTCCGCTATCTATCTATCTATCTATCTATCTATCTATCTATCTATCTATCTATCTATCTATCTATCTATGTATTACATTTTTCCTATTTCTCTCTGTCTCTCTCTATCTATCTATCTATCTATCTATCTATCTATCTATCTATCTATCTATCTATCTCAGCCACTTCATTTTCTGTCTATCTAAGACTGTTCATATGAATGTATATATATATATATGTATATATATATATATGTTCATATGAATGTATATATGTGTGTGTGTGTGCGTGCGCGTGCGCGCGTATGTGTATCTCAGTTTATCCAATTTCTCTCTCTCCCTCCTCCACTATCTATCTATCTATCTATCTATCTATCTATCTATCTATATTGTAGTCTCTTACTGATCTATCTATCTATCTATCTATCTATCTATCTATCTATCTATCTATCTATCTATCTAAGACTGTTCATATGAATGCATCTATATATGTGTGTGTTTGTGTGTGTGTGTGTGTGTGTGTGCGTATCTCAGTTTATCCAATTTCTCTCTCTCTCTCCGTTATCTATCTATCTATCTATCTATCTATCTATCTATCTATCTATCTGGTTTTATCTTGTTCAATATATTTATATCTTTAGGAATAGGTATAAATACTCGTATTCTACCTATATATTCACTACTCCCTAATCAATCGTCGGGCACGTCATTTTGTTTAATATTTACACTTTACACACACACACACAAATATATATATATATATATATATATATATATATATATATATATATATATATATACGCGCGTATAAATATGCGTTTTCACTTGTGACTATCAGATTACTTTGTTTGTTTCCCTTGATAGGAATATCTTAGTGATTCTAATCTGAATATGTAGACATTATTACTTTTCGTGTGTTTTTTTTACGTGTTTCTACACACCCACACACACAACGTATATTTGTGACCATTTTATATAGTTAACATTCATGAACAATTATAAGGCGACAAAGTAAACTCGAACTCAGTAGGCCAGCACACGGCCTAAAACACTATCTTTTCCGCAATCCGGGTTAAGGCCATAAGACGTTGAAACATTGGTTTCCTTACGACCGACAAAGTTAAGTAACGTCGAGCCTGGTCATTACCCAGATGAATGACCACACAGGAATATCTGGTGCTGTAAGCTTGTATGTGCGGGCGTTGTAATGGATAATGGCTCGGAATTGGTAATCGTAGAGCCTAGTTTCGATTCCAGTCGGGTTCCTTATATTCATTTACGTGCAAATAACGCTATGAATCCACCTTTTCCCCCAGCTATGGGTTAATTAGTAAGACTTGTATCACTAAATCCTTATTATCTCAAGAAAAGATTCCTGCACCCTAAAAATATTTCTGGCTTTAAATAACCTGGAAAGGGCTGATAAACCGTAGAAAACGAATCAATCAATCAAATGCTGATTAGCTACACAGGCATGTCTTTTAGATTTATTTAAACTCTCTGGATTATAAATGTATAGAAACTACTGCGGCCACAAAGTGAGGGATAAGTTTATATACTGATTGTAATATTGAATTGATCCTCCACTTTATATCCACAAATAATTTCTTGTTTGTACATTGAATTCTGATAGCGTATGAATCAAGCTGCTCTCCCCCAAGTATGGATTAATTAGTAAGATTTATGTCTCTAAACCATTATTATCTCCAAAAAGAAATTTACAATCTAAAAGTACTTTCTGACTTTAAATAACCTGCAATAAGTTGATAAAACGTAAGAAACAAATCAATCAATGCCCGTAATCAGCCTGGAGCAGGCAATATGAAACTAATTACGTCTATTTATTTGCATGAACTTGTTCCAAAGTTGCTTTAACTTGGCAAGTGTTTATGTGTGCGTGTGTAAATTTAAATATCTGTAAGCGTAAATTGTGTTTTGATTGACAAACAAACCTTTTTTGTTTGTGGTGTTTTCTTTTTTTTTTTTTCTTCTTTCTTTCTTTATGCGTCAACGAATAACAAATATGAGACGTCAAAAGTCCAATACAACGAGGCCGAAAAAGTTGTATAACTGTAAATTAAATACTTAATCGCTTCAGCTAAGTTACTACTACTATTACTGATATCACAGTACTAGTAGTACAAGTAGAAATGGCAGCAACAGTAGTAGTAGTAAAGAAAGCGTTTAAAAATATCCGGGTTTACACCTTTCCTGATATATCGACTCACATACACAAGAAAATACAAGCATAAATGAAAGATTATTTGGTAGGTACGTAATATTACATGTGTACATAGTTCTGCTCTCTCTATCTCTATCTCTCTATCTCTCTATCTCTCTTTCTCTCTCTCTCTCTCTCTCTCTCTCTCACACACACACACACACTCTTTCTCTCTCTTTCTCTCTGCCTCTTTCTTCCCTTCTTTCTTTCTTTTAGCCTCTTTTTGGCAACGTCTTCTATTTAAGTGCGATTTCGTTAAATTCTTCAATCCATGTGATGTCTAAGTAAAAGTTGGCACTCAAAGCAAAAGGACAATTCCCTAGTCATGGTAATGGTAATATTAGCCGTTTCCCTATAAGGAAACATTAGGCGTTCATTCACCAAGCAGTCAGCGCTGCTTTCGGTTGGAATTTATAAATCTTTCTCTTAAAACACTGTTTTCAGAAGAACTAGTCTTTTTCAAGCCCAGTAGCTGTTATCGCTCTTTCTAGTATTGATGGGAGTTTCCTTCCTAACCTTTTCTTTGAAGTAGTGTGGAACGTCAACATCTTGATTATGTCATTATTTTCTCTTCTCAAGTCCAGTAGCTGTCATCGCTCTTTCCAGTATTGATGGGAGTTTCCTTCCTAACCATTTCTTTGAAGTAGTGTGGAACGTCAACATCTTGATTATGTCATTATTTTCTCTTCTCAAGCCCAGTAGCTGTTATCGCTCTTTCCAGTATTGATGGGAGTTTCCTTCCTAACCTTTTATTTCAAGTAGTGTGGAACGTCAACATCTTGATTATGTCATTATTTTTTCTTCTCAAGCCCAGTAGCTGTTATCGCTCTTTCCAGTATGGATGGGAGTTTCCTTCTTAATTTTTTCTTTGAAGTAGTGTGGAACGTCAACATCTTGATTATGTCATTATTTTCTCTTCTCAAGTCCAGTAGCTGTTATCGCTCTTTCCTGTATTGTTGGGAGTTTCCTTCCTAACCTTTTGTTTGAAGTAGTGCGGAATATCAACATCTTGATTATGTCATTATTTTCTCTTCGAATTACATGCGGTATCCAATTTAGTTGTTGCTGCTGTTGGAAGTCCTCAAATGATGTGGTTTCTGTTATTTGGTATTTTTCTTTGTTTGTGAATCTGTAGCATCGTTTCACAATCAGCAAAGAAGCATAATCTTTACGAAACCTCTCAGTCTCATGGAAAACAGAATGCTGTAGAAACATGACCAAGCATAAAAGGCATTCTAAAATTCATAGAATTTTAGGATATTTTTAGACGTTCTTTTCTTTCTCTTTCTTCTCTCGCACTTCTCGTCTGTGGAATTCTTTTCCTCTTACTTGCTTCCCTGATAACCATAATCTTCAAATATTCAAGTGTAATGTCAATCGACATCTTCTGATATCTTGATCTTGTTCCCCGTCCTTCTCTTTATCCTCTCCCCAATCACGCCGCTGTACTCTTCGTTCTCTGTCCCTTGTAACCCCTTGCGTGTTAGTGGCACTCCCGCCTTGCAAGGGTGAAGTGCTTTAAAAAAAAAGATAAAATATAGTTTTAATGTATGCTATATTTGTGGGTTAAAGTGGACAATATCAGAAATAGAGCGTAAGTAAGTATAAAAGTGGACATTGAAGTCAATACCCAGAGGTGTCAGTGTGTTTCATGCTGAAACGCAATCGTCAGACTATCTATCTATCTATCTATCTATCTAGATAGATAGATAGATAGATAGATAGATAGAGTTTATACATAAAACCGAAGGTCGCTGCTCGGCGTTGACCTCAATGTCCACTTTTATATTTACATTCGCTCTGCTACTGATATTGAGCACTTTAACCCATAAATATAGCATACCTCATAACTATATTTCTATTATATGTTATATAATATATATTAGCTTATGTTTACTTACATACACATACAAACACTCATGCACACACACACACACACACACACACACATATATATAATTCTGTAACTTATCTAGTTCATTATCAATGTTCATGGTCATCTACTTCAGCCACTTTACAACTAACTCAGTCTTCTCGTATCTATCCATCTATTTGTCTGTCTGTCTGCCTATCTAAATTTGTACCAATCGATCTATCTCAAAATGATCAGTTTTATGTATATATGTATGTATCTATCTGCATTTCTGATCATCTAACTTTCAATCACTCGATCTAAAACTCTTCATCTATCTATCTATCTTCCATGAATGGTCTGAAGATTGCGTTCAGTCCTGAAACAGACTGTCGCCACTCGGTGCTGACCTCGGTGTCCACTTTTATAATTACATCCGCTCTATCTCTGATACTAAGCACTTTAACCCATACCTTAAACAGAGAGCCAATTTTCTCTGGTTTTCTTATCGTATTTATTCTCAAAATTACATTTATGATAATGTCCGGTTACTCGTTTCTGAGCACATCCATTTTCTATACTAATGTCTACCCAATACAAGGCTTAAGAACTACTCAATGTAGAGCGTTACCGTGTTGTATATGCATAAAAAATGACAAGAAGTGAAGTTTATGGTGTTACGCAGGAAAGATTACAGTTTACCTTAGACTTGAAGAGGTCAAGGTTGTAGTGATTGGGAAAACATCCTGCCGAGACAAAGCAGCATTTATTGGGAAGAATCTATCCGAGTGAAACTTAATTCTTATTAATGCAATACGAAGGGAATGAGGATGATTCACATTTGTGGACGTGGCATGGCGGGTCCAAGTCAGAGGGAATGGAACTAAGGAATGTAAATGGTCAGAACTGTTGTCATGAAAATATGGATAGAGCAGCACGCAGCTCGCGTCTTTGGGAAAGTGGTTGTAGGGTGGAAAATAATTAATCACTCACAAGTCCGCACAGACGCCTTTGAACACTATCAAGTTCGCATATATATATATATATATATATATATATAGCCAGTTTACCCTGATGATCCGTGTAGGTGAAACCTAGGTAGGTTTGTCTGGCTCTTTAGGTTTACTTAGTTTGCTCTACTTAGCGTATTGAGCACTTTGCTTAGTTATTTTTACTTTACTTGTATCGGAGGTTTTTTTTCTTTGGACTCTGAATTTAGATTCTAGACGATTATTTTCGCCGGAAGTACATGTTCTTAGTTCTTTCTTTTTTTTCCCCTTTTTTTCCCTTGGGTATTGGTTTGTTCATTTACAAGCTAAAATATCTAAGGTTTTGCCGGATGAGTATAGCTGCTTATATTTATAAGATTATTAGTATTATATATATATATATATATATATATATATATATATATATATATATATATTAATTTGAAAGACTGTTTTTTAGCCAAAATTGCGTGTTTTTCAATAGTTTACTGATAAGGAGGCAAGAAGGCTTTTTGCTAAAGTGCTCAATATCGAAGATATAGAGCGTTAATAGCGTTAATTATTTAAAAGTGAAGTTTTTTTTTCACTTAACTCAAATTTACTTTGAATTTTAAGACACAACCACTCGTCAGAATAGAGTTGAACTGCTGATATTTCTCGATCGTTTTGTACTTTTATTTTGGTGTGAGTCTATCATTTTCCTTTTCGCTTGATGGGTGTTGATTGGTTTCCCTTCCTTTCCCTTATTTTTTTCTTTTTCTTCTTTCCTCGCCTTCTCCGCTGGTATCTGTTGTTTTTTGCTATTGTTTTGACCATTTAATTTAGTTCATGGTTGGATTTCTGTGTGTTTATGTTTGTGCGGGTGTGTATTTATATGTGTACCTATATATGCGCATGCATGTACGTATACACACATACAAACATGTGTTCACACCCTCATCCGCGTGTGTGCTTGTGTGTTCGTGTGTGTGCGTCTAACTGTGTGTTTGTGTGTGTTTGCGTTAACTGTATATGTATTTTTAGTAGGTTGTATTATTTAAATTTACTTAGTGTGCACTTGTTTTATGCATTTATTTTAGTATGGGTGTGTTATTTACCGCTTGATAAGTCTTTTATGTTTAGTTGTATGAAAGAATAATTTTTTTGTGTTGGTGATGTCGTTAAACCAATTAATTGTTTCTTCTGTATTTTTCCATTGGTTTATGTTTACTGGGCTCCTTAACTTTTTTTTTCTCCGTTGATCTCTGGTTTATTGCTTTTCTTTTGATCGTTTAGTTTTAGTTATGGTTTAATTTTTGGGTGTGTGTTTATGTGTATGAATGTGCATGTGTACGCATGCATGTATACATACATACAAATATGCATGTATACATGTACCCGCACATGTACGTTTGTGTGTTCGTGTGTGTGCCTCTGTGTGTTTGTGTCTATTTTTATATGGGTGTGCTTGTACGTTCGCGCCTCTGTATGCATTCTCGATTTTTTATATATTTTTCTATTTCCGCTTTTTTAGATTTAGTGTTTGTGTGTTTTTGCGTTTTGTAAAGTGTGTAGTTGTAACTTGCTTGTATTTTGTGCGATTGGGTTTTATTTTGTTGGTTATTATTTTGTTGATGTTGTGAAGAGCGTGTGTGTATTTTTCGTTTTGTAAGGAGTGTAGTTGTGGTGATTTGTACGTTGGTTTGTGTGCGTTTTATATGGTTGGGTATTATTTTGTTGATTATTATTTGTTGATATTGTGATTACTCTTTTTTTGGGTGGATTGTGTTTGAGATTGATATGGGTTAGATATTAGGTGGGTTTTTGTGATGGGTTGCATTTTGTGCTGTATCTTTTCTTTTCTTTTTATTTTAGTTATTTACGCAGCTAAGTAGATGCTTGTTTAAATGTCTGCATTTCCCATTATTTCATTCCTTTTGTTCAGTAAGCTGTTTTGTTTCTTAAAGGTGATGATTGTTAATTTTTCTTCTAGACACAATTTCTGCTGTTGGTAGTTTGTGGGGTTGCTTTTTTATATTCCCTCATTTAATCTTGGTAATAATATTACTTTGTTTCTGGCACGATATGTCTTTTAATATTGTTTGTTGTTTTTATATCATTCTGTTGTAAATGAGGTTTGGTGATTATTAAATCTTTCTTTAAAAGTTGATTCTGTAGCTCCTATGTAAGTTTTTTTTCTTCTGTGTTTGTATTGTTTGTTATGGTGGTTTTAAATATTATGTTGTTGGTTAGGCATTTGTTGTTAAGTGGGCAATTGCCTTTATTTCGACAATTGTATTTGTTGTTGTTTTGCAGGTTTATGTTTTTGTGGTTGTCATTGTGTTTGTTGAGTATTTTCATTGTGTTTGGTCATTATTTTTTCCATGTTGTTCATCTTATCCATATAGCTGTAACTGATTTTTACTGATTTTGTTGTTGATTTTTGAGAGTTTGGGGAAATGTCTTTTAATTATTTTGAAGAATATTTTCCTATTTTTGTTTTTATTGTATTATTGTAGAGTGGCTTGAACCAGAGTATGTTTCTTTTTCTACTGTGTTTGGTTTGTTTTCATTTGTATATCATTGTTTTCATTGTATATTCGAATAACGACTATTTCTTAATGCTGTTATATATATATATATATATATATATATATTTGTTTTTCTTTAACATTTTTATGTCGCTGGAATTTGTTGATATTCTTTTGTTTATGGATATGGGTATGTGCTTGAATACGTTAGGAGGATGGTTGGAGTTTTTGTTGATGTATATAGGGTAGTTGTTTACTTTTCTCTATAGTTTGTATGTATTGTTGTTTTGATTAAATGTTATATCTAAGAAGTTTACGATTTTTAGATCAGATTTTATGTTTATTATAAATCCTAATGTGTTCAATGTTTCTATAATCTTATTTTTTACTGTAGTTCTGCCGTTGTAATTTCTTATTAGGCCGTCGTCCATGTATAAACCTGTTTTTGATTAATGATGTGTGTTAATTTAATGATGATGTATATACCTGATATAATGGAATATGCATACACCTGTGTTCCCTCTCACTGGAATATGATTGGCTGGTGTCCCTCATAAATACAGACGGACGTGTAGGCACGACAGAGTTTAAGTCTATGACGACGCCCATTGGACTACGCCATTGGCTATCCTATTGGTCTACACCTATTACCTGCGACTACGACGAGTACCAGTCGATTACTGCTACCGTGTACTACTTGGTTACAGTAGCCAAAACCACTTAGCTACTTCGATCAAACATATCCCTTTTCGGGGCATATCAATACCTATACCTATTATGCATATATAATGAATGTTTAAATATTTTCCAACATATTCGAAGGCAACAACAACACAATTTTGTACATTTTATTTTTCTATATTGTATAAAAAACAAAATTAAGATTAATATTTAAGGACCTTTTAATAATTGTTGTGGTAGGATCCACCTAATTTGCATAGTGGAGTACCGACCATATAAATATGGTTGGTACCGGGAAGAGAGGGAGGAATCAAGAGATTCAATCCAGAGACTCTGCCCGACTGCGACTAAGTCAACACATTCTCCAGGAACGGTCTTCCCAAGAATATACAAAAGACTATATGTAAATATTGTGTACCTTTCTTGTTTCAATACATTTTGTTCTAAGTACATTTTGTGTTGTATTATTATTCCATGCATTAGTCAAGTTTCAACAATAAATAATTAAACGATAATAGTTTTGACAAAGCCTCACGTCCTCTCTTCACACTTCTTCGGACATCTTTAGATTTCTTTTCTTTGTAAAGATTTTTAGTCAGTACTAAAGAGAACTATAGACAGCCTGTAGATCTTTCATTTTTTTAGCTTCTTTTCTTATAGTCTTTTATTCTAAGCCA